GTCGTCGTCGTCGTCGTCGTCGTGGTCGGCGTGCGTCGTGGTCGTCGTGCGTCGTGGTCGTCGTCGTCGTCGTGCGTCGTGGTCGTCGTCGTCGTCGTGCGTCGTGGTCGTCATCGCGGCCTGGCCTACGGCAGGTTCGTGTCGTGACGGCCTTGGCGCTGGTCTCTGACCCCAAGTGGATCGTTCGACCTTGAACGATCGGCGGCTTTTCGATCGCCGGATCGTTCCATATTGGCCGAGTCTGGGCAACTGGCGGCGTTCAAGCTTGAACGCCCGCGGCGGGGTCGCTGCCGCGTCGACACGACACGAAAATACTGTACCCCCCTCGCCGCGAAGAACATCGCGAAGGGAGGGCCTCCGGGAGCCCACTGCATGCCCCTGGGGCCGTCAAAAGACGACTCGGGATTAGAAGAAGAAACGGCGCCCGAGGCGCCGCCAGGGGGCCCCAGCGCGAAGCCAAGAAATCCGCGCAGAGCGCCAGAAGTTTAATTATGTTGATGGCGCTTTTTTCTTCTTCGAGGGATGAAGAGCCGGTCTGCAGGGAAGAAACTCCCGGGCCCGCACAGTGACAAAGCCACGGCGTCGGAGCCCTGGGCTTAGGTCGGGCGTGTCCTCCTGCAGGCGGATTCTGGACAGCAAAAAAAAAAAACATGCACACAAGATAATCAAAACTACTGAAAAATCGTCCCCCGACTATTTTTAACTATGTGCGAATACTCCTCTTGTAGATTTGGGTGGCCCAAGGGGGTCCAGCTGAAAGAGGGTGGTGTAATAAATTTGGGGCAAGTGAATTGCAAATGTACTGCGCCAGAGAAGTGTTTTGCATTGTATTGCAAGTAATGTCTTGCACGCGAAAATACAACAATACACCTGCGCCCCCCGAGATGTATTGCACGCCCCAAACGGACGGCAACCCCACAAATACGTTGCACCAAATCTATTGCACCACCCCCTGGCCGCTGGACCCCCTTTTGAGTCAACCCGATGTAGAGTTAGGTCGGGCGTGTCCCCCTACAGGGGAGCTTTTGAGGAAAAATCGAAGAAAAAAACACCATATATATACACACACACGCAAAAAAATGAAAAACCAAAAATAGTCCACAAACCGTCCCCAGACTATCTTTTTAACTATTTTGAATACTCCTCCTGTGGAGGGACAGGCCCGACTCGAGTGTCGAGGGACCTGCCCGACCGAACCCTGGGCCACTGGCCCCTCCCAGGACGAGTCCCCCCTCTCCGTTGTACCGTAGTAGTAACGATAGTCCCAGTAGTAGAGGGCGTGCCATCTTAAGCAGTAGGAAGATCCTTTTGGTCTCGATAGCAATCGTGTGCCTCGCGATGAGACGCAGTCATATCTGGGCGGCCGGCCGCTTGAGCCGACGCGGCCGCGGGCACACGCTCGCTTCCGCTCCCTGTGTCCCCAGCTCGCTTTAGAGTGCTGGACCCCCTTTTGGGTCAACCCGATGTAGAGTTAGGTCGGGCGTGTCCCCCTACAGGGGGATTTTTGATGAAAAATCAAAAATATACCAAAAATACAATATAAAAAATAACCCGAAAACAATCCACAAACCGTCCCCAGATTATTGTTTGAACTATTTTTGAATACTCGAATGTCGAATGTCGAGGGACACGAATGTCGACTCGACTCGAATGTCGAGGGGCGCGCCCGACCGAGCCCTGCGCCACAGGCCCCTCCCGGGACGAGCCCCCCCCTCTCCGTGCCGACCCCCCCCCCCTCCGCAGGCACGAGGAGCCCGCCCGCGCCGCCTTCCTCGGAGCGGGGGGGCGGGCGGGGCGCGCCGCGGAGGCCGTCGGCCCGCGGGGGGCCCCGAGAGCGCCCACGGAGGCCAAAATCACTGACTGCCCCATGGGTTCAGGTAGGGCATCTCACCCATACAGAGGAGGCTTTTGGACGACAAATAAGACATGGTCCAGTAAGATACTCGAGAGCAGTGGGAAATAGTCAGGACAAAAATCGTCCACAGACCATGCTTTGACTATGTTTGAGCATCCCCCCTGTAGAGGGACAGGCCCGACTAACCTAACCCTAGGTTTGGGCAGGATTTCAGCGTTCTTGCCTCTTCCGACTCTCAGGGGCCCACGACGGCCCAAGCGGCCTCCAGAATGGCCCCAGACAGCCCAGGAAGCCCCCAAGAGGACCCCAAGACGGCTCAAGAGGGCCCCAGGTGATCCGTCGGACCGCCCCTGCGCCTCGTCCGCACCAGGACTCGGCTGGCACCCTTCGGATGGCAACTCACGGGAGCCTCCCGTACCATCTTGTCGGCTCCTGCGAATCGACGCTGGCCGAGGCTAAATCGAGGCTAATCGACGCTAAATCGACGCGAATCGATGCCAGCCGACGCTAAATCGGCGCTAAGTCGACGCTGAATCGACGCCAAGCGACGCGGAATCGGCGCTGATCTCATCGACCCCCCTAGACGCCAATGGGCGCCAATCGACGCCAAAGACGGAACAAAGAGGGCATACCAGGAACGGAGCCTTGTGTGCCCTCTCAGTTCCGTCTCTGGCGCACCCTGTACGTAGGGCATACAAGGCTCAGAGCCTTGTATGCCATCTTAGCCCACTGCCCAGGATAATCATCATCACGGGATAATGAAGTTCGGGTGTCTGGCGAGGATAATCAACGATGTCCCCGGGGAAGGTGATGTTAGTTACAAGTTATGATGATGATGACGACGACGATGCCGCTGATGATGAAGATGATTATGATGGTGATGGTGATGGTGATGGTGATGGTGATGGTGATGGTGATGGTGATGGTGATGGTGATGGTGATGGTGATGGTGATGATGATGATGATGATGATGATGGTGATGATGATGGTGATGATGATGGTGATGGTGATGGTGATGGTGATGATGATGAGGATGGAGATGAGGATGAGGATGATGATGAAGATGAGGATGCTGATGCTGATGATGATGCTGAAGATGAAGATGAAGATGAAGATGAAGATGAAGATGAAGATGAAGATGAAGATGAGGATGAGGATGAGGATGAGGATGATGATGATGATGATGATGATGATGATGGTGATGATGATGATGATGATGATGATGATGATGATGGTGATGGTGATGGTGATGGTGATGGTGATGGTGAGCCTGGGCGCTCGTGTAGACTGACCTTGTAGATCTTGGCACTAGACTGACTCGAGAGATCTCGAGGCTGGTGGCCACAACTTGCATGCGCAAACCATGGGAGAGGAGGAGGAGGAGGAGGAGGAGGAGGAGGAGGAGGAGGAGGAGGAGGGAGAGGAGGAGGAGGAGAGGAGGAGGGGGAGGCAGGAGAGGAGGAGGAGGAGGAGGAGGAGGGAGAGGAGGAGGGGAGGCAGGAGGAGAAGGAGGAGAGGAGGGAGGAGGGAGGAGGAGGAGGAGGAGGAGGATGAGGAGGAGGAGGAGGAGGAGAGGAAGGAGGAGGAGTGGAGGAGGAGGGAAGAGGAGGAGGAGGAGGTCTCGAGGCTCGTGGCGACGACTTGCCTGCGCAAACCATGGGAGAGGAGGAGGAGAGGAGGAGGAGAGGAGGAGAGGAGGAGGAAGGAGGAGGGCCGGAGGATGATGAGGAGGAGGAGGAGGAGGAGGAGGGAGGAGGAGAGGGAGGTGAGGGAGGAGGGAGGAGGAGGGAGGGAGGAGGAGGAGGAGGAGGGAGGAGGGAGGAGGGAGGAGGGGGAGGGGAGGGGGGAGGAGGAGGAGGGAGGAGGAGGCGGAGGAGGAAGGAGGAGGAGGAGGAGGAGGGAGGAGGAGGAGCGGAGCAGGAGGAGGAGGAGGAGGAGGGGAAGATGGAGGAGGAGGAGGAGGAGGAGGAGGGAAGGGTTGCTGCCCAAGGCCCCCCCCGCGATCGGGGCGCCGCAGCGCGCCGGCGGGGCGGCCAATGGCCGCGCCCCCCGGGGCCCCCCCGTGGGGGCGGCCGCCAGAGCACGGCTGGGCACGAGAGGGGCGGGGCTCAGGTCGGGCCTGTCCCCCTGCAGGGGGACAAACCTCCCTTTAGCAAACCTCCCCTTAGTGAAAACGACCTAGGGCCGAAACCGACGGACCTGGACCCGCAAAAACGACGGCCGCGACGCCCCCTCGCGAACCGAAAACGGCCAACTCCTTTATCGACGTGTCAGTGTAGGAGGTCTGTCCACCTCCGACTGTCCCCCTACGGGGGGACTTGGAACAGAAAATCAAAAAGAGCCAAAAAAATCACCAGAACGGATGGCAAAAAAATCTCTAACGATCGTCCCCTGACTATTTCGTTCACGATGTTTGAACATTGCCCCTGCAGAGGGACAGGCCCGACTTGAGGCTGGGCCTGGGAGGGCCCCGGGGGGAGGCGGTCGCGAAGGCCCTGGGGGGGCCGCGCTGGGAGCAGGATGCAGCGTCGGAGGAGGAGGCACAGTCGCAAGGACGCGCGGGAAGGATGCGAGGGCCTTGGAGGCCCGTGTGAGCGTTTTCTTGTTCGGCGTGTCGAAATGGAGCGAAGAGAGGGGGGAGGGGGGGGGTCTGGCTCTGGACCTCTGCTCAGTGCGACTGTTTGCGACAGTGCGTCCTATGAGGGGAGGCTCCACCTGCTCGAAACAGACGCCAGAAACAGCCAAGATCTACTCCATGGGGAGGGGGGAGAAATGGGGTGCGAGGGCCCGCGCCGATCGGGATAACAAGGGATGAAAAACGATCACCATGTTCACGTGGTTCGAACGAGGTTGGCCAGCGAAAGTCGCTAAGGATGGGCCGAAGGGGTAAGGATGCAAGGGTGCCCTTGGGAAGGGTGCCCATCCTTACTGTGCGGGCTGACAGTAGGTCCCAAGTCAGCCAAGTGCCCCATGCCACCTGAGCGACGAGCGAACACGAGTCTTACGCGAGATGGCACGGCGACCTTGCGCGGTGACTTACGCGGGCCGCCAGCGCGGCACGCTACATTGGAAACGAGGGCGCTTACGCGCGACCTTACGCCGGCAGCTTACGCGCCAATGTCGGCGCAGACGATCCGTTTTTTTGCGTCGCTCACCTGACGGTCCCTCCGCCCCAGATCCAGTCGCCCGGAAGCTCCCGGTTCGCTGCCAGTCGCACAGAACTTGCAGCAAGTTCGACGGCGTCGGCTCCAGGAGTTCGAGGGCCATTGGAGAGCACGCAGAAGAGTGAGAAACCTGATCAGGAAAGCTCCAGCACCACGTTTTTGTTGGGGGGCCAGACATCGAGATGGTGCAAGGTCAGGGTACCTGCTCCGCGCAGTGAATGCGCTGGTTTGAGAAGAAAGTACCCAGTGATGGCACGACTCGGGCGCAGGCTAGATCTTGTTAAGGCGGCGAATGTTGCCCAGCACCGTTCCACTACAGGACTGCTACTGGCCACGAAACCTTGGATGCCGTATGGAGCGGCTACCCATCGGTCGGAAGAAGTAGGTGGAAACACGAAGCAGGAAGGCGTTGAAGTAGATTGGATCTCCGCACGCCCCCTGAAGACGAAGGAAGAGGAAAAAAAACACTCGATCCTTGAAATGGAAAGACGCCTAAAGTAGATTGGACTCTGGGGTCCACAAATACCTACATCCAACAGCCGATGGGTACTGTTCCAGCGGCTTCGTAAAGCTTGTCGAGAGGCACAGGGGTCGCCTTCCCAGGAAGAGCAGCCCTTGTGCTTCCCCGCCGCCTTCGCATTAGAATAAGAAGCATCAGGTGGCCGCACGCTGTAAAATCACTCTGGTCTTTCACGACTTCATCACGAGAGGGAGGGGGGGGGGGCATCCTGATTGCACAGTGCATCGGACTGAAATATGGTCAGACGCTGGTGCAGTGCCCGCCGGGCCAGTGCTCGAGACCCCCGGAGATGAGGTCCCCGTCAAACGCATCTACGAGAAGAAGCTGGTCCACTGTGCGAACCAGCAAATACTTGCCTGGGCGGTCATGAACGCCCCCCCTCCGACACGGCCGTCAGAGCCGCCCCAGAAAATCAAAGGCGGCGAACATGCACCCCAGCGCGGTCTCGAGAGCAGAACACGCCTGGGGACCCAGAGGCCAAGAGTGGGCTAGAGGGGGAAGTGGCGGCTCTAACGATCTCGGTGGTGAGCTCAAGACTCGCAACTGCCACAAGGGCTGAACAGCACGAAGTGGATCGCGCGCTCTAGAATAAGAAAAAACGCTAAAAGCATAAACGTTTGGCGCTCCGCGCAGATTTCTTGGATCTGCGCTGGACCCCCCCTGGCGCGTGAAGCGCGCCAGGGGCGACGCCGGAGGCGCCGCCGGGGGGGGCCCATCTCGGATCCAAGAAATCCGCGCGGAGCGCAAAAAGTTTATGTTTATGGCGATGTTCCTTCTTCGACGCTCGCCGTGCAGGTGCGGCGCGATGTTGAAGCACGAGAACTCGCCCTTCGTGTAGTTTCGGGCCCGCCGCCGCGCCCTCGGCACGCTGGGGGCTCGCCAGGAATGCTCGGCCGGCTGTCCGGCAGAGCCTCTGTGCTGTTTCCGTGGCCGTCGCCACCGCCCTCCTACCCTCTAGGTCGGGCATGTCCCTCCACAGGAGGGATATTCAAAAATAGTTGTTTAAACCAATAGTCTGAGGACGCTGTTTCTACTCTTTTGGACTACTTTTGAATATATATATATATATATATATATATATATACATATATATGTGTATATATATATATATATGTATGTTGGGGGTATGTTTTAATCTTGGTCCGCAATCCGCCTGTACGCGGACATGCCCGACCTAATCCTACCCGCACGCGTCGTCCGCGAGTCGCCCCCCCTCGCTTCGGCTCTCCGGCGCTCTCGTCGTCCTCCAGACAGCTCCAAGACAAGACGGCCACGGGCCCCCCTAGAACGGCTGCATGACGCAGACGACTCAACCGGCTCTCAAAGGAACCAAGATTTCCCGTAGAGGCCCCCAAGAGGCCGCTGGATGCGTCCAAGGCGAGGCTCTCAGAGAGGCCTCCAGTGAGGCCCTGAGAGACGAGAGCCAATGGAAGACCCAAGGAGAAGACAAGCATGTGTTTCCGAAGCTTTCCGGCTTCAGGTTGGCGCGGGAAGGCTTCAGAGAGCCTCAAGAAGATAGCCAAAAGAGAGATTCAAACAGCCCCAAGACCGCTCGGTAACGCCCCAAAGCGGCCCAAGAAGGCTTCCCAGAGTGCCAGCCCCAAGAGGACCACAAGGTGTTCCAAAGACGCCCCCAAGACGCCTCCAAGATGCCTTCGAGAGGGAGGAAGAGGAGGAGGAGGAGGAGGAGGAGGAGGAGAAAGAAAAGGAGGAGGAGGAGGAGGAGAGGAGGAGGGAGGAGGAGGAGGAGGAGGAGAACGAATAGAAGGAGGAAGGAGGAAGGAAGGGGGGGAGAGCGAGACTGCGGACAAGGCTGGATGCTCAAGATCCGCGCCAGCTGAAACAGGTTTCTAAACTGGAGCGCGTCTGAGCAACTAGAGAGAAGAGGAACCACCCCCTCAGAACGAGCATCCCTACAAGAGAAACCCTCCAAAAAACGAATATGACGAAGGAATCGAACAGGGCAAGGCTGCTTAGTTGAGAGGCCGATCCAATAACACATGTACACATACGCGGTCAGCTGCTGCTGGTCTGCGTTTGAACGCGGTCACTCATGCACGCGGGACCGCGGAGGGCGTCCATGTACATATGTCTGTGCTCGTTCACTGTCAGCGCCCAGGACAAGAGCAAACGCCACTTATGGGTGTCGGGATGGTTTCTCTTTCCTCCCGCAGCTCCAACACGACCTCTCTCCTGCCGCGCTGACGCGCTGGCACGATTGCGGCGTGTACCGCAGGCGGCTGGATATCAAAGAGGTGGAGCTTCGTGCGCCCGATGCTGGCCACGAAGACGAGCCCCTGCTGGTCGAAGCTGGCCACCGCTAGCCCGGCGCCGCCGATCCGCGCCGTGGGCCTGTCCCTGCGCAGGTCCCAAAGGAGGACCGTGGCGTCCGCGGACCCAGACAGGAAGGTGTCCTCACACGGCAAGGGCTTCGGGCTGCGCACAGGCCACGCCCCCCCCCCCGTAGTCCTGGCGGCCCTCACCAGGCCCGGAGTGTGCCCGGGTCGGTCTCAACACCTCAACCCTGGGGCGCGGAGCGCCCCAGGGGCGCTGCCGGAGGCGGCGGCCAGGGCGTTGAGACCGCCCTGGGGGCCAGTTGAGGCCAGCCTGGACTATCGGGGAGGGGCTGTCTGTGCGCGAGCTGGGGCCTTCCCATCCTCGTACGGGTGCGGGCTCAGCGACGTCACCCGCGCAGTGTGGCTCCGGAAGAGACGGACGTACTTGTTTTCCTGGAAGTCCCAGTGCTTCACGACGTGCTCCGTCGCGCTCCTGGAGGAGGCCAGCGCGCAGTCCCTGCTGTTGTGCAGGAAGCGGACGGCGCCGACGCCGTACTTCTCGCACCTCAGGTGCCTGGCCCGCTCGGCCCTGTCGCACGAGTAGACGTGGACGCGGTCGTCCTCGCCCGCGGTAGCGAGGTACAGCCCGTCGTGCGTAAAGTCCAGGCTGCCCACGGGGCCGCGGTGGTCGCTGTACACCTTGCCGACCGCAAGGCTCTGCACCAGGCCGTCCGAGAGCCTCACCTGGCGGCCAACGGCGGCGACGGCGCCGTCGCCGCCGCCGCCGTCGCCACCGTCGACGCCCCCAGACCCCCGCCGTCATGAGCTTTCTCGCGTGGACCCCTGGAGGCCTCGACCCCTTCCCTGGGGCTGGCCCCTCATCCTGCGCGCTCGTCGGACGGCCCTGGGGCCCGGGCGAGAGCCCCCAGAGGTCGAGAATGGCAAAATAAGAACCAGAAAATTATCCCAGTGCGACCCTACCTAGGAGTTGGAGCCCCTAGGAAAGCAGCATTAGTAGTAACAGTAAAGCTAAGCTAAAGCTAAGCTGAAGCTAAGCTAAAGCTAAGCTAAAGCTAAGCTAAAGCTAAGCTAAAGCTAAGCTAAAGCTAAGCTAATTCTAAGCTAAAGCTAAGCTAAAGCTAAGCTGAAACTAAGCTAAAGCTAAGCTGAAGCTAAGCTAAAGCTAAGCTGAAGCTAAGCGAATGCTAAAGATAAAGCTAAAGTTAAAGCTAAAGCTAAGTTAAAGCTAAGCTAAAGCTAAGCTCTACAGCTAAGCTCTAGCTAAGCTAAAGCTAAGCTAAAGCTGAGCTAAAGCTAAGCTAAAGCTAAGCTAAAGCTAAGCTCAAGTTATGTTAAAGCTAAGCTAAAGCTAAGCTAAAGCTACGCTAAAGCTATGATACAGCTAAGTTAAAGCTAAGCTAAAGCTAAGCTGAAGCTAAGCTAAATATAAGCTAAAGTTAAGCTAAAGCTAAGCTAAAGCTAAAGCTAAAGCTCCCAGGGGACTGGGGGAACCGCGGGGCGGATCATGGGGGAACCGCCCGGGGCGAGGTCCACTGCCTGGCCCTTTAAGCAAACCGAGTAAGAACCCTTCTAGGCAGAGGGGACTGGGGGAACCGCGGGGCGGATCCTGGGGGAACCGCCCGGGGCGAGGTCCACTGCCCGGCCCTTTAAGCAAACCGAGTAAGAACCCTTCTAGGCAGAGCCTAGGTAGGGAACAAAAAACAAACAAAACATAGCATAAAAATGATGCCCGCCGCGACGTGTGCCGCGGCGCGAAGGCGTCTGGGCCGCCGTCGCCGCCGCCGCCGCCGCCGCGCCGGGCCGCCCGACCGCCTCACCTGGCGGCCACGGGCGGCCGCGCCCCCGGGCGCGCCCGGCCAGGCCGGCGGGAGCGCGGCCCCGCCGCCAGCCACCGCGGCCGCCATCGGCTCGGCGCGCGGCCGAGGCCGCGAGCCCCGGCCGCCGCGTGCCGCTCCAGGGGCTCGAGCCACCCCTCCTCCTCCTCCTCCTCCTCCTCCTCCTCCTCCTCCCTCCTCCTCCTCCTCCTCCTCCTCCTCCTCCTCCTCCTCCCCTCGAGGTCAGGGTTCCCTTCTGAGCCTTGTTCAGCGTCTTAGCGCGCTCGGCCGCCGAGCGGGCTCAAGATCGAAGGGCCCTTCGGCGGCCACACGGGCTCGATATGCCCACGACCCCCGTCGGAACCGGGCCCGCTCGGCCGCCCGCGTCGCGGCCGCACGCGCTCAGGCGCCGAGCGGGCTCGAAGGGAGCCCTGGCGACGCACAAGCATGGAATCAGCGGCGCGTGGGCCAGCGACGGGCCCCGCTCGCGTGCGGAATCGGCGCGCTCCGTCGCCAACTCGGGCGGCACCGCCCTCACGTTTCGGGGGGTCACCGTCCCCGAGCCCTGCACCTGGCGCCCACGCGCCAGATCCACGATCCCTCATCCGTGCCAGCGCGTGCCCGAACCAACTGCAGCGCAACGGGCCCCGTGCCTCCAGGCGTCGGACGTGGTGGAAGGCCCAGGAGGCCAGATCCGCACCTCCGCGCCGCGGGGCCGTGATGTTACAAAGCCCCGGGGTCAGCGAGGTGATGCGGCTGCTGTGCTCCACTCGGGCACGCTGGTGCGGCGCAGCCGATCACCGAGGCGCTCGTTGCGGAGCTGCTGCCAGAGGCGGAGAAGCTTGGGAGAGGGAGGGGTAGCCTTAGGTCGGGCATGTCCCCCTACAGGCGGATTTTGGACGAAAAATGAAGAACACCCGAAAATGTGCAAGAATAGCCAAAACATACTCAAAAAATCGTCCTCCGACGATTTTCGGACTATTTGTAATATTTTCCTCCTGTAGAGGGACACGCCCGACTTAAGGGTAGCCCCGACAACTGCTGCATTAGGAGGCAACTACTGGGAGGTTTTCGTCGGAAGGATTGAGGAGGATTAAGCCCCATTTTGGGGCTATTACGCCGGAGTGGGCCTCGGATTAAGCGGGATCAAGCCGGCTTAAGCGGGATTAGGCGGGATGAAGTGGGATTGAGCCAGATTAAGCCGGATTCAGCCGGACTTCGGATCCGTGCAAAATCAGAATTTGACCTCCCAGGAGATGCATCCCAAGATCGAGCACTCCGAATCCCATATGAATCGACACCCCCCCTGAAAAGCCGGACCCCCCTCCAGGCGCGACCTGGTATTCCGGACCCCTCTCGTCGGCGGGGCGCCTGCACAAACCGGACCCCCTGAGCTCCAATCCAAAGCAAGCGCCCGAGGAAACCGGACCTCGCCCCCTCGCCCTGCGTCGGGACGCCGAGGAGGAAGTCGGGCCGCCGCGAGAGGCCACAGCGCCTTTCATCTGTGCGCGCGGTGGCCCACGGCGGCGGCCGCGGCCGCGCGGCACACCCACGCGCGGGCGCAGAGGGCGCCCGCGCAGGCAGCTTGCGCGCCAGTGCCCGAGCGGGCGACGAGGTCTTCCTCCGTCGCCCCCCAGAAGTAGGGAGTCGAACTCTACAGGTCAGTTTTTAATACACCGGATGTTTCAAAACTATAGATCTTTAATACATGGTTAATGTATGAATAAATGTATGCATGAACTCATCGTTGCTTTTAGTACTAAGTCCCTGCATTTTTAATACATGATCGCCCCCCTGAAGTAGTACGGGACGTGAAAACGACCACGGCCGCTGCTTTTCTTTTGCTGCCGCCGTCCCGCCAGCAGAAGCAAGGCAGTGGTTGTGGTCATTTTCGTTAAGCTCGGCACGAGGGAAACAACCACAACCACTGCTTCTTTTTCGGCCGGCTGGAAGGCGGCGCAAACAAGAAGCAGTGGCTGTGGTCATTTTCTCGTCCAGCAATTAGGGAATCGAACTCTATACAGCGACGCTTTTTCCGGCCCTGCATTGAAATCTGAACTGGGGAGCGGATTCTGGTGTATACGGGACCCTGGCGTATACATGTTTCGTTGTTTCCCCAGGACAGCGGGGAGCAAAGTATACACCACACCACCCCAGTGTCGTCCCCGACCCTCAAAAAGTCCGTGGATTGAAAAACAGCCCGCCACTGGTAATGTAGATGTTCCAGTTTCCGATGAGTTGGCGGAGCGCCCAAAGGGGAAGACAGAGAAGGCCGAGCTGCTGAGAAGGCTGGGTGGCCTCCTCCTCCTCCTCAGCCTCCTTCTCATCCGCCTCGTCCTCCTCCTCCTCGGTCGGTCGGTCGGTCGGTCGATAGCGGCAGGGTCTTGAAGCCGATGCTAAGGCGTAAAACGAGAAGAGGAAGGACGGAGAAGTTGGCGACGAGGACCCCCCAGACCAAGAGCCACACGGAGAGGACACGCCCAAAGCCCACGCACACCCCCAAGAGGGGGGGACGCAAAGGAGGTAAGAAAGAAAAGAGGAGGAGGGCCCGCAAGGGGGGAGCTTGGGCTAAGGGCGTCCCAGACAACAAAAGCCCCCAAAGGCAGCCACCCAGACAGAATACCAGCGGACGGCGCCCGAGGACCACAGAGAACCAGAGACTCGAGCCGCGTCCAGTGCTAGGCTTGCCCGAGCCGTTCTCACGAGCACGAATTCTTCCACAACACCATCCAACTATCAATCAGTGTCGTTCAACTGGTCAGGATAAGCCGGAAGAAGTGCAGCAGCACCTCCGAATACTGAAAGACCTCTCCATCAGCTGGGATTGTGGCTTGACGAGTGGCGTAGACCCAGGCCTCTGCGGACAAGCCCTTCCCCGCACGAGTCAACGATGACTGACGGACGATATGATCCAACGTTGACAGAACTCCAAGATCTCTCGGGACAACACATCGAACGAGATTGTCGCCTCCTCCTCCTCCTCCTTCTTCTGGTCCTTTTGGAGCCCCTCGAGCCCCCGGGGTTTCGCGAGGGGGGGCCCTGTAGGCCACCGGGGCATCCAGGGGAATCTTGGGGGCACCATGGGCCAAAGACACCTCTGGCAACACCTGACCATCCTGGAATCCTGCTCCTCCCGGTCCTTTGCGCGCCAGCACAGACCGGCCCGGCCATGGGCGCGGGGACCAGCGCGAAGCGGCTGATCCATGGGCAGAGCAGGCGCGCGAGGTCGACCTGAGAGTCGGGGGGGGGACCAGCGGACCACCCGAACCGATCCTGGCTGGGGCGACCCTTGGGTGGCGACCTCCGAACTCTAGCCCAGAAACAACCATCGATCCTCCGGAATCGATGGGAGGCGGGGGTAGGGTTCGGGGTTCGCCACGCGCCCGACGAAGTCCGAACCCTACCCCCGCCGCCCATCGAGTTTCGGGGGCGCCCAAGAGGGGGGGCGTCCAAGAGGGGGGGGGCGCAAATCATGGCCGGCGGCATGTGCGCGCCCCAGGGGGGGGGTCCAGGGACGCACTGAAACAAGAGGAGGCACCATGAAATCAGGGGAGATATCAGGGCCCCCGCCATACTATCCACCCCCCCCCTACACGCCGGTCGGAAGAAGTAGGTAGAAGCATGAAGTAGGAAGGCGGATATAGTAGATTGGGTCCAGGTCCTCCCAGAGAATGAGAAAACACAGCAAAAGCATGCCGATTCTTGAAGTAGGAAGGCGCTTGAAGTAGATTGGGATCTGGGAATCCAGAAATACCTACTTTCAACGACCGGCGTGTAGTCATCACCCCCCGCTCTGCCGCCCCCGAGAGTTGCCCGAGTCGTGGAGCGGCGAGGGCAGGGCTCGCCTGTCGCCGCCGCATCCTGGCCCGGGGCCGGTGCTCCGGCAGGACCTGCCCGTCCCAGCCAGGAGGCCACGTGGGCACCGGCCCGGGGCCCGAGAGAGGGGCGCGGCCAGGATCGATGCGGCGGTCCGTGCACGTCCGCTCTGACTACCTACCAGACCACCCCAACACGACCCGAAGACCCGAATTTCGGGTTGGGGGGGGTAAGGGTTCCACACGTGCTTTTTCTGTGTTTCCCGACCCCCCCCCCCCCACTGGAAATCGAGGGTAAATCTGAGCCTTCGGGTTGGGTGGGGGTGGTTTGGTGGGTGGTGACGCTCCCCACGACCTTGGCCCCTCCGCAGGTGAGCGCCCCCAGCACCGCCGCGCCACCTGCGGCAGGCTCGCGCCGTCCGGGGACGCACCAAAAAGGCATGCCAGCACCACCGTGTGCGTCCTCCTCGGAGGCGCGCGTACGACCCGAACATGTGGTACGCCCATCTCGTAGGATGTCGTTTCCCGAGCAGCAGTGCCAGCAAGCGCCCGCCACGGCGCATATACGATGTAAGATTTCTCGGTGCGCGCGTCGCCCCTGGGGGGCGGCGCACACACACAATATCAGTACGTGTGCTGGGGTGACGCCGACGATAGGCTCGTGCCGTCACGGCTTGCGCGCTGGTGTCTGGCACCTCGTGGGTCGTGGGTCGCTCCACCGTCCACGGTCGCGGCTTCCAAACAAGAGCACGGATCGTTCGATGCCGGCCGGTTTTGGGCCTGCCCGCACCGGGAGGCCGGGATTTCCGTCTGGCCTGTCGCGTTGCTGTGCACATGTATGATGAACGATCGTTCATTTTATCTCGACACCGCACGACCCGCCCGAGGGCGATCAGTCTAGCTCATGGCTGCGCGTCCTAGTTTCGCCAGAAGCCCAGCGGGGGGTCAGGAAGGCGGGCCGCAGACGTACAGGTGGCAGCGAGAAAGTCGATGACCGATCTTTCATTGTAAATACCATGTCATACCCTGCGCAGGAGGCTGGCACTGACACCTCCTATCATCCCCGTCAAAGCATTCGACCTCTGTGCATCTCAGATCCTGGCACTTCCATCGGTGAGCGTCTGGGTGGCAGAATATGAAAGCCTGTAGCGACGGGAGCGCTCCCCGGCAGCTCCACCATGGGAGTGCCCAAATGCTGCACCTGATGCATCCGAATGATTTTGGGACTCTGAACGAATCCTCCTCCTTCTCCTCCTCCATTCCTTCCTTATAGATCGGAGGTGAGGGGGTGAGATCGAAGTGGAACGGAGAGCCCCCCTACCGGGAAGTCGATTTCGGTTTCGTGTTCGTGCGTGCCGTGCGTGCGGGCGAGGCGAAGCTGCGTGGGCGGGCGAGAGAAAGTCTCCTGTGGCTGAGGCGCGGCCTGACCAAATGACTCCCTTCCGGGCGGCCGGTGGCCCGCGGTGTCCCGCCGGTGTCCCACGAAAGTCCCGTGTGGCTGAGGCGCGGCCGGACCAAATGACTCCCTTCCGGGCGGCCGGTGGCCCGCGGTGTCCCGCCGGTGTCCCGCGAAAGTCCCGCGGTGTCCCGCGGTGCCCCGCGGTGTCCCGCCGGTGTCCCGCGGTGTCCCGCGATGATGATGATGATGATGATAATGATGATGATGATGATGATGATGATGATGATGATGATGATGATGATGACGATGATGACGATGATGATGATGATGATGATGATGAGATGATGATGATGATGATGATGATGATGATGAGATGAGATGATGATGATGATGATGATGATGATGATGATGATGGTGATGCTGATGATGATGCTGCTGCTGATGATGATGATGACGTCGATGATGATGATGGTGATGCTGCTGATGATGATGATGAGGACGATGATGATGATGATGATGATGATGATGATGATGATGATATGATGATGATGCCCGATGATGATGATGATGATGATGATGATGATGATGATGATGATCGATGATGATGATGATGATGATGATGATGATGATGATGATGATGATGACGATGATGATGATGATGCTGATGGTGTCCCGATGATGAGGATGATGATGATCATGATGATTATGTTGATGATCATGATGATGACGATGATGGTGTCCCGATGGTGATGAGTATGATGATGTTGATGTTGATGATGCTGATTATGATTGTGTCCCGATGATGATGATGTTGATGATGATGAGGTTGATGATGATTATGGCGTCCCGATGATGATGATTATTATGATGGTGATTGTGATGATGTTGATGATGATGGCGTCCCGATGGTGATGATGATGATGATGATGATGCTGATGTTGTTAATGATGATGATGGTGCCCCGATGATGACGACGATGATGATGATGCTGATGATGATGTTGATGATGCTGATGATGATGATGATGTCGATGATGAGGATGAGATGATGATGATGGTGTTCCGATGATGATGATGATGCTATGATGATGCGATGGTGATCATGATGGTGATCCCGATGATGATGCTGCTGCCCGATGATGATGATGATGATGACGATGACTGTGTCCCGATGCTGCTGATGATGATGATGTTGATGATGATGATTGTGATGATGGTGATGATGATGATGATGTGGTGTCCCGATGATGTTGATGACCGTGATGATGATGATGTTGGTGTTGATGATGAGGACGGTGTCCCGATTATGATGATGTTGGTGATGATGATGTTGATGTTGATGTTGTTGTTGTTGATGATGATGATGATGACGTTGATTGTGAGAGCGGTTGTGATATCGATAGTGAAATCGATAGTGAGACCGAATGTGATATCGATTGTGAGATCGATTGTGAGATCGATAGTCAAATCAATTGTGAGATAGATCGAGTGAGATCGATTGTGAGATCGATCGAGGGAGATCGATCGAGCGAGACCGATACTCAGATCGATAGTTATATCGATAGTGAGACCGATCGAGTGAGACGTTGGTTCCTCCCCCCCCCCGAACCTCCTTATCACCCGAAGGGTGGTCGTATATAGGTAACTCCTCCCTGCCGCACCCCGAGGCCAGTTTTTAGGGCGGGCCGGGCATTTCGCCTGAGACTTCTCCACCATTTACGACTCTGAAGCTTAAAAAGTGGCAACAGCTTCACAGATGGAGGGCGGGCCGTGTTTAAATGTGGCTCTCGCCTTAGCGCCGCGCAAATTCGTTTTCAACAGTTGTAAGAGCTTCACGGATTGAGGTCGGGTCGTTTTCAAAATGTTGCTCTCGTCTCAGCGCCGCGCACACTCTTCGTTAAGATTTGCAAGAGTTTCACGGATTGAAGGCGGGTCGTTTTCAAAATGTGGCTCTCGCCCTAGCACCGCGCACACTCGTCTTTAAAAGTTGCAAGAGCTTCAACGATCAAGGGCGGGTGGTTTTCAATATGTGGTCCCCTGAGCGCCGCGCACATGGGCTTTTAAAATTTACAAGAGCTTCACGGATTGAGGGCGGCTCCTTTTCAAAATGTGGTTCTCGCCTTAGCCGCGCCGCGCACAGTCGTTTTTCAATTTGCAAGAGTTTCACGGATTCCCATGATCAGCGTACCAGAAATTGTGTGTTGGAAGGATTCAGGATTGTGCGGGAGCAACAGTTATGCTGATTCGCTGTGTTGAAGTCCCAAAAATGGCGTTCTGGCACGATTCTGGACCGTCAAGACGCAGCAGTCAGGTTGGCACGTGGCGTTGAAATCCCGAGAACATTTTTGGGCACGCTTCAGGATCTTCAAACTGTTGTGTTCCATCGAGGCAGCTCCCTCAATGGAAATGAACCGCTGCATGGGCCTATGAAGAGGGAGCTCGAAGGGAGGGTTAATTCCAACATCGTTGATGACTCTTGGGTTTCCACTGGTCATCCTCTCCTCCTCCTCCTCCTCCTCCTCCTCCTCCTCCTCCTCCTCCTCTTCCTCCTCTTCCTCCTCAACCTCCTCCTCCTCCTCCGCCTCCTCCTCCTCAACCTCCTCCTATTCCTCCTCATCCTCCTCCTCCTCCTCCTCCTCCGAGGGGTCGGGGATGCCTGAGCCAGCGTTTCCCCTGAGAGGTCCCACGATCAGCGTGAACTGGCAAGTGTAACACCCCCTGGCGGCTCCCCCTTGGGGTGCACCAAATGGTATGCCTACCACATCGCGGTGATCATGGGATGATGTACGGAAGGGAGTCGGGGGGGCCAAAACCAGCGAAACGATATAGACATCCCCACCATCCAAGAGCGAGAAGCCAGTGCAGCCCCCCTTGGCGGCGCCTGCTTGGGGTGCCCAAGAGCGACGCCTGCGACATATAAAAGTGGCCAATGGGCTATCCATAGCGAGGAGTCGGCAGCGCCACGCGTGCGAACCGCTCGAGACTCCCCCGCAATACACACTTGTTTCGTCGGCGGCGAGGCGGAAGCGGTCCGCACCAGCGAGTGGCGATTCGGGGCAACCGAATGACGACGTGTGAATGGACCCAGGGAAACACAAATAAATACACACAACTCCCAGGATTCTCCATAGTTTCACACATGTTCTGGGTGTTCGTCTTCCCCCCACTTCCCACATGGTCCCATATTGCCCCCGGGATCGAAGACTCGTCGTGTCTGCGTGCTGTTTCCCCTCCTGACATTGGCCAGCGTGCACGAGCGAGGGGACAAGGCAGGCAGGGCGGGAGGAGGGCACTCGGATGTGCAAGAATTCCGCCCCCGAGCGCGCTGGCGCGGCCAGCCCGGCAGGACACACGGTCTGGGCACGAGCGGGCAGGTGTCCCCCTCTCCTGGGCGGCTCCCCCTTTGGCGAGCTCAAGTGCCACGCCTGCCGCGTCGCGGTGACTTGGAAGCTCTCGGGAGAGAGAGAGAGAGAGAGAGAGAAAAAAAAAAAAAAAAAAAAGAGAGAGAGAGAGGGGGGGGGGAAAGCCAGGCTCACCAGACGAGCAAGCCGCCTGGGACCTGCCCACCGTCTGGGCGCGAACGGGCAAGCGTCCCCCCATCCCTGGCGGCTCGGTGCCCAAACGCCACGCCTGCCATGTCGAGGGGACCATGGGGCTTTCAAAATGAGACATCCTCGGGGATGGACAGACCCCCCTTTAGTAAAACGTGGTTTAGTGAAAACGGCCTGAGGCCCAAACCTGGCGGGCGCAAGCCTGGAAAATAGCGGCCACGGCGCCCTCTCGAGAACCGAAAACGGACATTCACGAATCGACGTGCCACTGTCGGGGGTCCTGTCCACCCCCGACGTCCCCAGAATCCGGGCGTGAACGGGGAAGGGAAGCCACCCCTGGCGGCTCCCCCTTTGGGGTGCCCAAAGGCCACGCGCTGGCCGTGGAGCTTTCCAACTGGAGGGGTCTCTGGCCCACCAAACGAGCAAACCGCCCGAGAGAGATCCCCACCATGTGGACGCGAGCGGGGACACGAAGAGCCACCCCTGGCGGCGCAGTGCCTGCTGCGCGACGGTGATCGCGAGTGAACCCGAGCCTGAGGAGCGAGTGATTGCAAAAAAAACCGAAGGATTGCAAACAAAAACCCTCGGGTTGCAAAAAAAAAAACCTTTTTTTTGCAACCCGAAGGGTTTTTTTGCAATCCTTCGGTTTTTTTGCAATCCTTCGTTCGAGTGGGCCTGAGCATGAGTGGCAGAGCGCCTTGGCCTGAGATCAGTGAGTCTGAGCGTGAGTGCCCCCGAGTGAGAGCGAGCCCGAGTGGGACTGCGGAGAAGGGGGCGAGGGAGGCGGGACGAAAAAGGAGGGAGGTGGAGGCGTCGACCTCATCGCAAAGACCCCGTACTTCGCCTGTGGGGAATACCATTATGCGGGGCACGCGCGTTGATCTAACCAGCGCGTGATGTAAGATGATGTGGCCTACATTGCGAACATGCGGGCCACACGCGCGCGCGCCATATATGTATATGTATATATATATATATATATATATGCGTCCACGGCCAGCGGTGCTCGAACACAGTCGCAAAGAACTGTCAGACAGCACTGCTCTGCACCAAGAAACGCAAGACTCCTGCACGCGCGCACGCCATGGCATCATGCAAAGACGCACTGGCTTCTGTCGCGGTGCTACAGCAAGCCGTGAGCCACGCGCGCGCGCGCATGCCGAAGACACCGCGCACCCGCTAACTCTTTGAAATCGTGCCAGGCGGGCCATACGCTCGCGTCTCCGCGCATGCCGAAGCCATGGCAAAAAGTCAGTCCTCTGAGCGTTTCAGCTGAGAGGTCCTTAGGGCATCTCCAAACATTCTGCTCGGTGGTATATGTCTGAGTTTCTGCTCGCGCGAACTTCCTCGTCATGCTCATCAGCACGATTGCAATCATCATCGCCAGCGTCATCATTGTCATCGGGATGTGCAATCACCTTCATTTTCCTTACCACCACCATCGTCGTTGTCGTCATCACCACCGTAGGTATTACCATCGTCATCATCGTTGCAGTCGTCCTCATCATCACCGCCACCGCCACCGCCACCGCCACCACCACCACCACCACCACCATCATCATCATCATCATCATCAGCAGCAGCAGCATCGCCATCGACATCATCAGCAGCATCAGCATCATCATCAGCATCGACAACATCATCACCATCATCATCATTAGCATCATCATCATCATCATCATCATCATCATCATCAGTGACAGCATCATCATGAATCATCATCATCATCATCATCAGCAACAGCAGCAGCATCACCATCATCATCAGCAGCAGCATCATCATCAGCAGCAGCATCATCAGCAGCAGCATCGTCATCAGCAACAGCAGCATCGTCGTCGTCATAGCCGATCTCGCCAGCGCCATCACCACTCGCCCGCCCGAGCCATGAATCTGCGTGAGGAGGATCCTCGAGTTGTTGCGCCAGGTGAATGTTGCCCAGAATTTGCGGGTGGGTGGATGTTGGCTCGAGCATTCGAACTGACGACTGAACCCTACTAGCGCCTCCATCCCGCCTGCGCCCTCCTCCCTCTCCTCCTCCTCCTCCTGCTCCTCCTCCCTGCGAGGAAGGGGGGGACGGGGAAAGGGAGTAGGGCAACAGTGGTCTATGTGGGCCCTGGACCACCTGCCCTCCCCGGCGGTGGCTTGAGGGACTCCTCGAGATGGCCCCAGCTGCGGAGCTGCTCGGCGAGCCACTGGTTCCTGAGGGTGAGCGGCCCCAGGGAGGGCGGGACGCGTATCAGGCCGCGCCTCTTGGCGGCGCGCCCGAAGGGTGGCAGGGCGGGGGGAAGGCTGCTACAAAAGCAGGGGGGTGACCTCAGAAGGGATCGGCCCCTTCAGCCTATGGGAGCATGAGACGGCACAAACACAAACGTTCGGAAGTCCGCGCGGCCCTACGGAAGGTGTCCGTGTATGCCGATGCTGTTCTCTCCGGCAGACACCATGTGCCCCACCCCTTCCGGCAGGCGGGGGGGGCCTTCTCAGAAGACCCCCTCCGCCCCCCTAGAGGCCTCCTAGATGGAGTCCGAATAAACGGGGTCAAAGGATCGTGCCGCATTGGCGATACATCGCCGATGCACCAGCGATGCATCATCGACGTCGGCGCTGCATCGGCGACGTCGGCCTGGAGGGAATCGGGCTTCGCATCGAGCCGCGTCGTGGATGCATCCGCGATGCGGCGCGATCCTCCCACCCACCCCGTCTGCTCCAACCCCGTCTGGGAGGCCTACTCCAGATTTCGTAATAAAAGGGAGGGGGTCTGGACCCTCCAAGACAAGCCATTTCAGACCTCCCCCGTGGGAGAACCCTCCAAAACACCGTCCCCAGACCCCCCCAGGCCCTCCAAGATAGCCTGGAAGAGACCCCCCCCGAAATGAGACCCCCCTCCCTTTATTACGAAATCTGGAGTAGGCCATCCCCCCCCGCCCTGCCCCCCCCTCTGCGCGCGCGTCGCCGGGCCTCTCAAGGGCCTCCAGGGCCTCCCGCACGAAGTGCTGGCAGTTCGCCACCTCCTGCGGCTCGGAGAAGGCGGCGGTGGAGGCGACGGCGCCCCAGAGCTCCTGGACGGTGGCATCCATCTGGAAGCTGTGGCCCGCCCGCGGCAGCTCCTGGAACCACTCCTGGAGGAGCAGGATGACTACCTACCAGACCACCCCAACCCAACCCGAAGACCCGAATTTCGGGTTGGGGGGGGGTAAGGGTTCCACATGTGTTTTGTTCGATGTTTCCCGACCCCCCCACACTGGAAATCGAGGGTAAATTTGAGCCTTCGGGTTGGGTTGGGGTGGTTTGGTGGGTGGTGAGTTTTGGGCGATTTGGGTAATGGTTTTCGAGCGCTGGCTGGCCCAGGAAGCGCAAAACCTCGTGGCGATCGCGTGTCCCCAAACCCGGTGGTGACCCAGAACTATTTTGGGGGGGGAATCGGGGTCACCATCGGGTGTCTCACCACCTGGTTTGGAGACCACCAATCCTGGAGGAACAGGAACACGATAACTTTTGGACTGCCGGAGCTCCGCGCGGAGTTCTTGGATCGGCGCCAGACCCCCCCCCCCTGTTCCGCGCGCCGGGGAAGGGGCTCCAGCGCCGAGCCCAGAAATGCGCGCGGAGCGGCGAAGGTTGGCGCCTGTGCTGTGTTTCCTCTCGGAGCTCCAGCGTGCCGCCGCGCCGCCACCACACCCCGGTGTCCGCGTTCTTGTCCAGGAGCAGCACGCGGTGGCCCGCCTCCGCGGGCTGCCGGAGGTGCACGGCGAGCACGGAGTGCTTCAGGCCCAGGACCCAGCCCCACAGCCCCAGGTGCGCCCTGCGGCAGTGCTCCTCCACGCGCAGGGCCCGGCAGCGCTGCAGCCACGGGGTGCCCGCCACGAAGCCGGCCTCGGCGCAGCTGCAGGCCGCGCGCAGATCCGCGAGAGTGTACCCCGAGGGCACCTGCGGGTCCTCGAGCACGAGGACCCCGCGGACGCTGCGGGCACCAGCGGGCGCGGCCCAGGGCCACTCCGCGGACGGCCTGAAGACGGACGGCCCCTCGGCCGCCCGGCCCGGGTCGCCGGGCGGCCGCACCACGAAGAGCTCGCCACCGCTCGCGTCCGCGGCCGCCAGGCGGACCCGCAGGAAGGACCGCGAGCCCCGCGTGGCGGGCCCCACCGGCCAGTATTCTCGGCTACGCGCAGGAGTGACCCTGGGCAAGAGTGACCTTCCCTCAGACCTGGGCGCCGGGGGAAGACGCGAGGGTCAATGTGTCCACGTCCTCGACCTGTGGGGGCTGCCTCCCGGACCCAGGACCGTCCGAGAAGGGATGCAAGACTGGTCCCCTGGAAGTGGTCGACGTCTCCGGGGGCCCACGTCACGAAACAAAACAACGTCGTCGGAGGAGGAGGAGAAGGAGAAGGAGGGGGAGGAGGAGGAGGAGGAGGATAGAAGGAGGAGGAGGAGGAGAGGAGGAGGTGATGAGGAGGAGGAAGGATGGGGGAGGAATACAGGAGGAGGAGGAGGGGAGGTAGAGGGGGGGGAGGAGGAGGATGAGGAGGATGGGAGGAGGAGTATGAAGGAGGGGAGGAAGGGCGGAGGCGGAGGGGGAGAGGGAGGATGAGGGAGGAGGAGGGAGGCGGGAGGAGGAGGAGGAGGACAGGAGAAGTACGGATGAGGAGGAGAGAGGAGATGAGGAGGAGGAGGAGGGAGAGAGAGATAGTGAGGAAAAGGGAGGAGGAGGAGGAGGAGGAGGAGGAGGAGCAGGGTCGGTGCGCGGCTCTAGACGAGGGGCCAAGCCCAAGTGCGCAGGCCCGGCTGCCGCACCGCGCCCGGCGATTCGAGGGGGCCCCCCGAGGGGCCCGCGCCGGAGGAGTCACTCCGGCGAAGGGCCGCTCCCCAGACATGCGATGGCCTGAATTTTTCAAACACGTGCGAGGCGGGGGTTTTCGGGTCGGGCGAAAGGGGGGATAGCAAAGGGGGGGGGGAGAATCAGCTCACGTAGCTGATTTTCCCGGCGCCTCCCGGCGCCGGAGGCGGCTATGTATCGAGGAATGGGCC